GGAATTCAAGAATTAACTGAAGGAATTAAAGGAAGCAATTTTGATGATGTATGCGATTCAGTTACGCAATGCATCCCGGAAGTATTAAGATTTATCATACCATTCGTCATGTACTATTGGCCGGGTAGGAAAAGAGAAGTTTCTGAGTATGTAAGTAAGTATATTATTTTGTCAGCAGGTTAAAGCGGAAAGGAAGAAACCTTTTGGTCGGATGCGGCCACTTCCCGTTCCTCAGTGGAAATGGGAAAATATCACTATGGATTTTGTGTATAAGCTTCCACGTACACAGAATGGATTTGATAGCGTTTGGGTGGTTGTAGATCGGCTTACCAAGCCAGCATACTCCATTTCAGTGGGAGAAAAGTATCCTTTGAATAAATTGGCTAAGTTGTTCATCACAAAGATTGTGAGGTATCATGCCGTTCCAGTGAATATTGTTTCTGATCGCCTAGATTTAATAGAATTTGTCTACAACAATAGTTTTCATTTGAGCATTGGTATGTCCCCATTTGAGGCACTTTATGGTAGGGCGTGTCGAACGCCATTATGTTGGTCTGAGGTTGGCGAAAGGGTGTTAGAAGGCCCTGAGATTGTGGACGAGACAACTCAAAATGTTCAGGTAATTAAGTCAAACCTGAAAGCAGCCCAGGATCGACAGAAGAGTTTAGCGGATCGGCATACTACTGATCGAGTGTATGATGTGGGCGATTGGGTGTTTTTGACATTGTCACCTTGGAGAGGTGTGGTACGATTTGGAAAAAGAGGGAAGCTAAGTCCGAGATACATTGGACCTTATGTGATCATTGAAAGAGTTGGTGAAGTTGCCTACCGGTTGGAGCTACCTCCGGAGTTATCTAAGGTCCATAATGTGTTTCACGTCTCTATGCTTCGACATTATATTTCTGATCCTTCTCATGTGATCCCTCCTCAACCGTTAGAGATTAATCCGGATTTGACTTATGATGAGGAACCAGTCACTGTATTGGATTGGAAAGATAAGGTTCTAAGGAACAAAACGGTGAGTTTGGTGAAGGTTGTGGAGGAACCATTCTGTAGAGGAAGCTACTTGGGAGACAGAAGACCGGATGAGAGAGATGTACCCAAGGTTATTTTATGAGTATTAAATGGTTTACTTGGTCACGGGAATTTCGGGGACGAAATTCTATAAGGAGGGAAGATTGTCATAGCCTGTCCCGGAAGTACTTTTGACGGGAATGTGAAATGGCGGAAATGCCCTTGACGTTCTAAGGTACGTGTGTGTGAGATTTTATTGGTTCAAATATTATGCAAGGGTAAAAGAAATATATTAGTAAGTTGGATAATATTGAAAGTTTGATTTTTGTTATGTATGGTTAGGATGAAAATGGATGGTGTGGATTAGTTTGGACCACAAAAAGGACCTCTCTCTCCTTCTCATTCCCCGTGTCTTCTCTGTCTCTCTCCCTCACGATCTCTCACACGCACACACCCAAAACGTACGGCACACACCCTAATCTTCCAAAAACGCGACGGATCGAGGCAACCAAGGTATGCATCTTCATCCTTTCGACGTTTTGAGTTCATTGGTGCTAGTTTTAGGAAGTGAAACCCTCGAAATCATGTGGAACCCGAACCTCCATTTTTGAGTTACTGTTCATGCACACGTAAAATGTCGTGTTTCAGGGAATTCTAAGCTTGTAGTGAGCTTAGTGAAGTCCTAAGGAGGCTCGGAGTGCTTCGTTTGAAGGATTTGGACGTCGGGATCATGTGGTTCCATTTTGGCCGAAATTCTTGGGAATTTTCCGGTGAGATTTCTTGATTTTTAGAGCCTTAAACTAGTCTATCGTGATTCTTCATGTTTGGGGCTTCAATTTGATATAAAATACGAAGACAATGGGTGAAAAACGAAGGAGAACGAAGAGTTTTAAAACTCGCCGGAAAATGGCCGCTGGAAAAACCAGTCCGGCGAACCAAGGTTGGGGATGATGCGCGTGGGGGCGCGTGTCCCCGTGCTTGTCCTGGCGCGTGGGGGCGCGTGCTGGCTCCAAAAATTTTTCTAAAAATATGTCGACGTCCGTGACGTCGAGTAGATCACTGTGGTATATTTATATACCCAAATTGAGCACCGTATGATAAAGTTATTACGAATTGTTGGTTAGGTGCTTTAAATAACGTTTTATGGTTATTTTGCATATAGGTGAAAATGTGAATTGACGATCCGACCATTGGATCGTCACCAAACTTTGATATGTTGTAATACGTAATATTTGAGGATTATAGGAACTTGCGGATTGGGAATCCGAGTTACGGATCTTCCGGAATTGGAATTGTAAGTTCATAAAATAAAATGTTAACCGTCACTTAGTTTTGGAAATTGACGGAGATCCGACCGTTGGATGGTGATGAAATTTTAGGAGGTTGTCCTAGAGGTATATTGTGGACCTCTGGAAGTTACGGATTTGAAATCTGAGTTGTAGATCTTCCGGATCGAACTACGTAGTGACGTATTTTATATAAGTTATATATTCTATCGATATGAATTCTGAGGTTGGATTTGATTATTGTTTTAGGCGCCGATCGTCATGACGCCTTGGCGTATTGTGCTAGGGAGTTGTAGGGCGAACTCCAGGTGAGTGGGCAGTTTTGTTTTCGTATTACCTATATACAACTATTTTTTCCAGAAAATGCGTTTATATGAAAGTTATGAATTAATTTGCCATGCATGCAATTGTTGAGATACCTAGATTGATAATTGATGCTTATATATATGAATTGACGCGGTGGACGCACAGGTGAGTTTTATTATTATTCAGCTGAGTTATTTTATATTAATTGCATCGAAAGCTCTTAAGCTGCACCTAGGTGTTAGTGCTTATATTGTTATTCACCACACCGCACGCTCGCCTTGGATCCAAGTAGGTGGATGTCGTACAGACCATGTGAGGGTTCCGACATGCTAGTCGTACAGATCACTAGATGTGATTCCGACTAGTGGGTGACCTTAGTTATGCGCGCTGATGATTGATGAGAGAAGCACTAGAGCGTATTATTACACCTATCATCGTACAGACTACTATACGTAGTTCCGAGTGATGTGCAGTGTAGTGCCGTACAGGTCATAGTTGGTGACTCCGGCAGGGCCGTATAGGTCACTGTGGTGACTCCGGCTGAGTGGGATGTTGAGCTTTAGAACCAGCCGTACAGGACCATTGTAGGGTCTCCGGTTGATATATTATTTCACCTGATTGATATTGATGCATTATGATTATATTTTGGGCATGGCATGTCATTATTGAGATATTATGTTGATGAAATTGAGTTGAGTTTGCTGTTGCGTATATATATATATATGTATATATACTATTTTCTGGGAAAGTATACAGGTTTTTACGGTGAGGGGTTAGAAATGTTTTAAATAAAAGGTTTTCGAAAGACTTTGTTTTACTAACCCACTCAATTTTGTTTTGCGCCCCTCCAGGTTCTAGATTGCAGAGCTTTGGTGGCCACGACGAATCCAACGGTGTTCTGACAGAATTCACAAAAGTAGGACTCACCCTCGGGTGTTTCATCTTAGTAATTGTATCTTTAAGCTTCCGAACTGTGTAAATGGTTACGTCACTCTCACGTGACGGCCAGCATGCCCTCCTCCGGGACGGGGTGTGTCATCATTAGTCATTTTGTTGGAAACCAATTGGATTGAAACTTTGAGAGAAAGATTGGCATGTGGTTGAAAGTATTTGAGAAAATATGAAATTGTGGTGTAAGGTAGAAGATAATGAGAAGGTATTTATAGAAAAGTAAAATCTTTTTTTTTTTAATATTTTTTTATTTTTCGGATTTTTTATTAATTTTTAACATTTTTATTAACATAATTAATTTCTGTTGTTGGATTAAAAAAATTTGAAATCCAACCCTCCAGGATAACATTTCAGAATTTTTTAATGTGAATTTTATTTATTTATTTATTTATAAAGGTAAATAACGTGGATCGTTGATCTCGAATCCAATGGCTGATATAGTGCCACGTCATCTAGCCGTTTGCGGAAGGTTTGAATTTTTTTTTTACCGTTGGAAATCCAACGGTCCAGATAAGGTATTCGTTGAAATCCAACGGACGACTTCGCGCCACATGCCCCACAATGGTAACATTTCAGAACTCTGCGTTGCAGGCCCCACCGACTAAAAAGCTGTTGGTGACGCGCCCCTACGCGCACGTGAACGACTCGTGCCTGACACAAATTTTTTTAAATCGTGACTAACGTCACCCTGAAGTTAGCCTGGCATCACTTGGCCCTCAGGCTCTCGGGCCACCGATTCAAGCCGGGCCTCTCAATCGGGCCCCCCTCAGCCTACACGCTCGCATGGGCTAGAGCAAGCAACTTGGGCTATTGGGTAGGAAAAATCGAAGGTCCATCGGGCTATTGGTCCCGGTGGAGTTGCTCTTACATTTACTCTCCCACCGCTCACCCTTGTTTTTTAGGATTTTCGACAAAAGTTGATATAAGAGATTATTTTCAGTGGTATAATTTTTATTTTCTTTTACTGTACTTTACTATGCTTTACCATCATATGTGAAATGAATTCAATCTCGCTCACACGCACTCTTGTCTTTAGTCACTTTTAAAATTTTATTTATCCATATTTTTCCACATCATTACACTTTATTACTTCGTCACCTTCTTAGTGTCGACCATGATAGCTCAATTTCCAAGTCGGGATGTGTCAGTTTGGTTCTCCTCTCTAAAATGCATACTACATCATGCATCTTACATTTACTCTCCCACCCTGCTTTGGGCGGGGACATTGCAAACAGAATGATAAGAGGCTGACTTGCTAAAAGCTGACGAGAACCGCGGGCGTGTTCTTAAGAAGATTGAAACTGGGACATGGTTGTCAAGTCGAACCACAACCTAATGATTCTCAACATCTACAACATCATGCATCTTACATTTACCCTGCACCCTTCGTTGCCCTCTCCTAATGCCGCGTTTGCGCAAAATGCGGCCACAACACGAGAAATGTTTCGTTCAAACGTCAAATTCAATAGGAAAGGGAGCACAAATGTACATAAATACTGGAATAGGATAGAGATTAATACATTAGGAAAACGTTGTCCAACCAACTAAGCCATCGAAACAGGTTTCGAGTGACCCCGAAAACAATGTTAAAACCTAGCTTAGTCACCCCTCAGAATGAACTAACCCCAATGGTAAAATAAACAGAAGTGCCATATATCACATCATCCCTCTCTACTCGCAAAAATGGCACCACCAAACTCGGCTCTCAGAAACAAGGGAATGATGCAATTACAAGACCAACAAGTAGGGATCCAACCGAACTAGCGAGCGTAAAAGAACCTGAGCTTCCCTGAGGAGATGCAGCGGGTGTTTGCTCATTCCCTCCAGTAGTCGACGACGCTGGTGCACCACCAATGTCAGCACCTGACATTGGAGAAGGTGCCGGCGAGGTAGGTGCTCCACCTATATACATACAATTCATTAATCTCAAGGGACAAATCCACCAAAAGTTGAAATCAAAACAAGTATACGCACTCGTATAATATATAGTGAATTTGGACACTCGGAGTTTGCAGTAATATGAATTCATCGAAGGAAAGTAATTTTCGCACACCGTTGATCTCTTTGCAATAAAAGAGACAGAAATAAAGAACCATGTGCAGAAATTGCTTTCCTTCATTAAATTATTATTCAAGATTAACACATGCGTTTAATTCTAAACAGTATCCTATAGTGTAAAGATCAAGCAAAGTCCAGAAAGAAAATGAATGAGGATCATTCGTCAGATACAGTTTACATTCAATTTTAAATAAAAAAATTACAATAATTTCTGAATTTTCGATGATCGAATGTGACTGAAGGATCTAAAAATCCTCAAAAAGAAACCGTCGAAGAAAAATGCCCCAAAACAAATCAGCCAAAATAATAAATAATTAAATATAATATAAACTAAATACTTTAAATATGCTTGAGTGCTGTCCAGATCTAGGTATAATTAATAAAATAATTAAACAACAAACAAATAATTAAACAAATAGCAGAGCAGCATTAAGATAATAATATGAACATACCAGGAGCACCAGCAGGACTGAGAGATACTGAAAAAAACAACAAAACAAATGTTAAAAAGAGGTTTACTCGTCAATCTTAATTCCCAAAAAATCTAAAAATAAATAAAAATAGATAAAAAGAGAAAAGAGAAGGAAGACAGACATCCACAGTTGGAGGCAGACGGAGCGGAGACTTTGCAAGCGGCGGGGAGGGAGATGGCCTTGGTGATGTTCAAAACGACGCCGAGTTGAGCACTGCTTTTGAAGGCCTCACAGAGGCAGGAAGCGTCGGCTTTGAGAACAGTCTTGAGGCCACTGCAGCAAGTCCCTGCAGGCTTCGTGTCCGTGCTCCCATTCGACACAAACGACAAGCAGTCCGCCATGTTCAAGATCAGGCTCGAGCAGTCCACCGCAGGAGCCGGCGCCGCGCAGTCCCCAAGTCCAAACAGAAGCACCGCCATCACCACCACCAGAGTCGTTGCTGCTCCCATTTTTTCTTGTGGGATTGTGAAAACTCAAGAAGGAATGATGGCACAAAGTAGGAAGTGGGTTGGTGAGGGATGGGATTTTGTAGGATTAATATATAAGGGAGGGGATTAAGTGGCGAGGTGGGAAGGAATGATGGCACCAAGTGAAGAACTCTAACTCCCAACAAAAGATAATGGACTTTATCTCTCATCAAGGTAAAGTATATAGAGAGAGAGACAGAGAGTGAGAGGACAGTGGGCGCAATCGGTAGTCGGTGCTATGAAGTGGGGCTCTATACGTGTATCGCATCGCGTGCTCCTTGTTTCATGCCATTAAATTTCAAAGGCCTCTTTTTCTATTTGAAATGATTTCTACGCATCTTTTTTTTCTCTTGACCTAAATAAGTTAGGAAAGTTAATGAAAAAATTTTGAAATTTTTTCATTTTAACGATAATGATAAAATAAAAGATAAAGTAAATAGTATTATAATTAATTTTTTAATGTAAAAATATAATTTTTCGTTAAAATAAACAATACTAAAAACTTTTCGTTAAAATTCTCAAATAAGTTTTATTTTCTCAATGATTAAAAGTATATAGTCACTTATAGATTTGACATCAAATTCAACGGAAAGCGAGGGTGGCGATTATTATAGTATCAGAAAGAAATTATGTTTATCATTTTTAAATAAAAGATTAATTGGTAGTTTCATTTAAAAATAGAAAAGACTTACATAAGTATTTTTATTTTTCACTAAACAATGAAAATAGTTATGTTTATAAATCTTAGTATATGTTCGATTCTCACTAAACTACTTCTCCTCTTAAAAACTAATTATTTAATGGAGAGTGATCAAATTCTTTAATCATCATGTGACCAAAGAAACATTTATGTGCCCTTTACACATTTTCTCTATTTTCTTGTGGTTCGATTGAATAAAATTAAAAATTAAAAAAATAGAATTATTATTGGCACTCCAAAAATCTTATTTTGCGCTTCTCATAAGTGTATATTCTTTCTAAATTTTGAAAATTTGGAGTATAAATTGAAAATTTTAGAGTGCTAATAACAATAATTTAACAAGTTGACAAATTAAATGAAAAAAGATCGTCAAATATTACTAATTAACTATTTCATTTTATACTAATATTTCAGATCATTCAAAATTGAGATGCTTTAAACTTGAATTTCGTGGATAACAAGTTCATCCAAATTTATCATGATTGACCAATAACGTGGATGAGCTTAAATTCCTCCTAACACCTTAATGTAAATATACCCTTGTATTAAAAAGTAAAATGAAATTCATCCATCGAATTTCTCTTTCACTTACAAATGAAGAAAAGTACTACTAAACAATAGTAGTTCAGACAAATTTAAACTAAATATTAATTTTAATAAATGTTTTAAGAAAACTATCCTTTCCCATTCTATTTGAATAAGCCACAAATTGTGAGCAAATACGTATGTGAACGTTTATATTTTTGTTCTATTACACATGATCCACATGCCACCGGTGTAAATGCAACAAATTGTCGCCGGTCACCGTCATTGTGACTGATTTTTTTTCAACAGTCGGAAAATTTCAAATCACTGACTTTTATTTTTACAAATGATAGCGTTAACGGATTAAACTGTTCAACATTGAGTTAAAAAATAAGGATATTGATATCTACACACCCATTTTACTTCCACACACCTCTCTCAATTTTTGGCAATCGGATCAAATGAAAATTTTTAACAAGGATGAGTGAGAGATAAAAATAAGTATGGAATAGCACCATCCAAAAATAATGCATGCAACTTTTTCATTTTATTATATTTTAATGTGTGAGTTAATTGTTCCTTTACACGTATACGCAATAAAATTAGTAAAATTCATTATCAATATTCACATAATTGTTTTGGTTGATTATTTTTTCTTAAACAAACGATATTATCGACGGAAAAAATACGCTTAGCCTCACTAAAAGACAGAAAGAAAAAAATCTGATTTTGAGAAAGTTCATCACGGAAAAGCATATATCTCAAACGTAATATTATTGTCGTCATGTCATATGGGTCTCGTCCGTCATTCCACGTTCACAACTCCCATGTGTGGAGAAGTACCCAATTTAATTTCTCAGAGGGACCACAATTTTAATTTGTCCCCATCGATCGATCAAGCTAGGAATTCTCCAAGGAGAGGTTTCTTCACATGCCCACCAATTTACTTCACCACGATCTAGGTGTTCACACGGACCACGTTCGAGATTATATTTTAGAGAGTTTTAACAAAATATTCTCGGTATTGTTCAATTTTAACGAAAAATCATATTTATACATTTCTTTGGTACTATTCATTATACCTTTAAAAATGACTTTTCATTAAAAATGAAGTTTTTTTAGACTTTTCGTTAGTTTTCCTTATATTTTATACATCACATCTAAATCATTTATGTAATAGAGATGGAATCTAAATTCATATTTTTATTAGAGAGATGGTTTGTATATGGTTTGCAAAATTTAATGTTCTTAGCATCATAATTTTTCAAATTCTACCTCTTTCGACATATGCCTCAATGTGTACATTATGGATGCAAATTTCGTCCAAGGGTAATTGATAAAATTACACCTATAAAACAATTAACATTGTTAGCCTAATTGACAAACACATGAGAAAATGGAAGAGCTTGTCAACCAAAGAGCCTCTGATGCCTAAGTAGGAAAATAGGAGAAGTCTTTGATGGCAGGCCTATGGCAAGTGTATGCCTTGGAGAGCATGGCACTCAATAAAGACTTCGAATAGTTGACCTCTGCGGCCTTATTGAGTCGGGAAAGGCACGATGGCAGGAGAGGAATATCTTGGGTCCGAAGGGCGCTTTGATATGTGTATGAGTCCGCAGGCAAGCAGATGCTTAGCCCCTTAAGGTTTGGTGTGGTATGCTCGCAACTTCAATAATAAATCCGTCATATTAATATAAAAGTCTATATGTCGTTCTCTTATTTAATATAGTTAATTTATGTCTTCATTAACAGTGTATTTGATGAAATACCTTTTCTTTTCTTTTTTCGAGAAATGCTAAGAAGGCGATTTGTTGTATCCAAATCTAATCTCCCAAACCTCTTTTTTTTCATTTGGTTCTCCAATAAAACTTGGTTAAATACTTTTTAATCCTCAAATTTTTGTGGGCGGGTGAACCCTAAGATTTAATGCTTTTATTATGCATATTAAATGAATAACAACGACTCCCGTTTGACCGACTTTTGTTTCCGTCCAAACTCAACTGTCGACAGTTGTACACGAGTTTGACTCTGGATCTCGAGTACTAATTTGAAAAAACAGAAAAGAAAAAGAGGAACTTATATAAAACAAATCTATCGTTATATAACGTCTTAATTTACCAAAATAATGATATGTATTTAAAAATGTACACAACTGCTAAAAATTTTACAAGACTTTGACTTTGAATCTCGATTACTACTTTGAAAAAAGAAAAGAGAGAGATAGTGATCAACCAACACAACTTATATAAAACGGGTCTATCGCAATATAACGTCTCAATTCACTAAAACAATGATATGTGTTTAAAAATGTACTCAACTGTTAAAAAAATTTATAAGACTTTTGACTTTGAATCTCGACTACTATTTTGAATAAAGAAAATAGAGAGAACTAAACATGAGCGATACACGAAAACAATTTATATGAAACGAGTTTATTGTTACGTACTTTCTCGATGTACTAAAACAATGATTTGTTAAAAAAACGTACACATATCAAGATTTTATTAGAATTGAACGCTACATGAGTGCTAAACCCGTTTCATAAATGCTCTATGAGAAGGACACTTAATGTTGTTCTGGACATCAAATATGTGTCGGCACTGAATACATACACTTAGTCAAGAAAATCGGTGCAGATGGAGATGATGAGTTGCGAAAGAAAGCCAGCAATATCATAGGAAAAAAGGTGTTGCCATTTGCCAAATGATGATCTTCATAGGCTGCCGTTGTTTATAAAGTTGGGCATAAAATCATGAGCTTCCTTCCTCTTTCCTTTTCATCTTTTTGCCTGGCAAGCATGGCGCTTTCCGGCATAATTGCGCTTGATTGAGAGCTACTAAGAAAATCACCCTACACACTTTTTAATCACAATCATCGCAGTCAATCAAATGTTCAAACAGCCGAGAACCGCCAAGAAAGGCCGCTTTTGTACGTTCAACTCCAAATTCAAAGAAACGGTGTAAAAAACTGAAAGCTAATGAGCCGTTGTGATGATCATTTTATTTTCGGTTTTTTATTTTTTATTTTTTTTAAATCAAAATTTTTGGGATGGTTATCGAACGAGTTTTCAGTTTTCAAAATAATGACAACTAAATACTAACAACCAAAACAACTAAAAATTGAACTAAAAACAAAATAATTATCAAACAGTTTCTAAATTAACCGAGCGCTAAAATAACTTTTGGAGTCCAATACTAGCTATTTGTTCTAGTAGTGGCATGCTTACCCACTTCCATCGTAAGATTTACTCAACTTTGTTGAACCTGACTTCTGAAGAGGGCAGATTTTGGGCAAACATGACATTAACACCATCCGCCGACCCTTAGGCCAAACACCAATATTTCAATTTTCGTTTACATTCTATTTTCCTCTCTCCTTCACAGATTCTACGACAAGAAACGTATTTCACACTCCAGTCTCAATACTACGTCATAAAATGAGTGTGCAAAAATCATTTTCTTTTAGAAATCAAATGCGTGGAATACTTTCCCACTCTACATGCATATATACACACAAGCCGTAGATTTTCATTTAAAAGAGAAATTCAAAGCTTCCACATTAGCTACTCACTGACATAATCAAGGGCCAAAACTTTGACATCACAATTGCTTTAGATATACTATTTTATTCAAATTTTACTAGCATACGGGCACACACAAAGTGTATGAGAAAAAATTTTATTTTTGTTTTTTAAATAGAAGGAGAGAGGAAGAGAGTGCTAGAAAATGTGGGAGTGGAAAGTTTTTTTTTATTTTTTTATTTATTTTTTAATTAGAGATATGTTAGAATTACATGTAGGTGAGACTTTGAAAAAAAAAACAAAATTTGATAAAAAATGATAAAAAAATAATGTTACGGAAACCAAATTTGCCCTTCCGATACTTCGCAATTGAAACAAATGATAAAAAATAAAAAATAAATAAATACACGAGTGCAAGGTCACGAGCACACATATATACATGAATAATGTTAAGGAAACCAAATTTGCAAACCAAATAATGTGTCACAAATAAGAAATAAGCACGTTAATCAACATTTAAGTAATAATCTAATTATCAACATCCTTATCATTTAGTTTATAAAATTTAATTTAAAATTTTAGTATCCTAGCATTACTCTATATACATGTACATATTACTTACGTAAGTTACCGACGGGTTTCTTTTCTACATATGACAGGATAACGACCACGTCGTCAAGCTTGCCGCCGCTATATCCGGCATACCCAGATGCCTCGGCTGCATCAGCAAATGGGCTCCTTGTAGATTTAGATCGCCCCAGCTCTTGTGCACTAGTGGCCAACAACTCTGCTATGTCCTTTGAATAGTTGCACACACAGACAACCAAAAGAAAATGCATATAAGAAACCACTACAAAGTAGTTAAAAACTAAAGCTGTCTGTTTTACCAGCAATCATGGTTTTCCTAGCTCAAGTATTTTGCCAATAAACTCGGAAATTATAAGTATGAAAGTCATTGAACGAAAAGATATGGCACCACCACCATCGAGCCATGTATGTTTTGTCGAAATGCCCTTTTCTGCAATGTCTACGGCACCTTTAAGCGAATGCATGACAGTTTTTCTTGTTCGGTTTCCTTTTCAAAGAAAGCTTACGGGAAAGAAATATATCAAGAAAACATTGAGACTACGCACCTGTAGTTCCAATCCCGTTTGCAGTGACTTCAATACAATTGAGGTGATCTCTTGCTCGTACAAGTTATCGAATAGGCCATCTGTTGCAGTAACAACCACATCTCCCTCATCCAAATCAATTCGGTATTTCTGAAAACAGAGTATTCTTGTTAGCATGATCTCTCTCATTGTGTAAAACAAGCAAGTTGCAAGAAAGAGTTGGTAAAATAAAAATAAAAATATACTGTTTCTGCCATCATCTTCCACGGATAAGGGAGGTGAAAAGTTCAAATCTACTTCTTACGAATGATAATATGTCAGGAGCTAGCATTATGGAAAATTTGTTTGGGCACACGATATGGTGATAAATTTATAATGCACGTACCTCTATAAGTTCTGAGGGATCATCACCTCTTTCAACCCGTACTGGAAAATTGAATTCGTGAACCATTGGTGATGATTTTTTAAAGACAGCACCATTTCTAATAACGATAAATCCCGAGTTTCCAATGTTGGCCACATGAAGAGCCTGCAAAAGCAAATTTTCATTACCCATGAACTTGAAATCAAAATTTTCAACATTACATTTTAAGGTTGTCATATGCAATAACCAAACCATGGTTCACGAAAGAACACTCCGTAATGCTATATGAGGAAGAAAAAAATGAGATAATTAGTAATACCACCCTCATGAGGAAGAAATAATAATCTTAGTTAAGGAAAACTTCCTACCTGACCATCAAAATAAGCAACCAGAACCGTGGATGATCCAGGAGATTTTGTATATGATGAACCTTTAATAAGGACTTCTTCTGGTTCAATCAATGGTAAACCTTTGCAATTGGATATGAACCTTTCACAATTCTCCATGAGTTCACGAGCATATAGTCCAGGATTAACCCCTGAATATATCAGGAGCAAAGTATAACAAATTTAGCCTAGATTTTGTCTAAACAGAGGGTTTAGGGCTTAAGGCATATTGCACAAATAAGAAGAAACATTTGACTTTTGCCGTTGCCCATGGAAAAAAAGACTAATTAACAAATGGAGATTGAGATATAAGTATGGCTATCAGGCTATCAATTATTCCAGTTCAACTTCCATGCTACGTATCATTATATGCTATGACCATTGGATGGTCTGGATTCATGGGACCACAATAAAAACAATAATCTAAACCAATTTAGGCCATCGTATACTCGTAGCATAGAAGAATTTTCCCAAATATTTAACAATTATGGGAACACTGAACCAAAAACATGAACACAAAAAGACACAAGGATGCACCCACATACAAACAAGTTTAACTTCATATTGCGTAATCAGAAGTGAATAATTTAACGGATAAATATGTAAAATATTTTGGCTTCACCATTGAAATAAGTGGGTTAACTAGTGATAGCATTTGGAAAAGAATCTGGTAGTCTAACATGCTGAGATATAGGTATGGCCATCCAATATTCCTAACAGTATTTATCGTGCAAAATTAAACTTCAAGGTGGCGATACCTTCTAGTGACCACTGACCTACTCCATCGGCCACACCTAACCAATTTTGGCAACCAACAAAGTAAGCATCCTCCCCACCTGTCAATGCCTGGAATTTATTAATTCGTAAATTATTTACAGTTATGCTAAATGCAACCGTAAGGTCAAGTAAGTATGGTGTGTGTGCACACAGGTTTGTATGCATGTGTGTGTGTGTGTGTGTGTGTGTCTACCTGCGTATAAACAAACGAGAGAGAATTCAAGACCAACCGAACATAAAGCTCGTTTATGCAAATGTGCATCTGTGGGTTAGATATGTGTATCTGTCTACCTACATACAATTGAATGCATTGATAGATGCATTGATAGATGCCAAATTGCTATTAGGCAATACGAGTTATGTCCACTTCAAAAGGATAAATTTTGGTACTCTGCTAGCAATTTTAGCTAAAAAATTTAGAATTTTTCTACGTTTTTTCCTTCAAATGGGGCATAATGAAAGTTAATAGGGCGTGTATAATATAATTTTGAAAGGGAATTCATGAGACCAAAGTCAGACTGAAACTTTGTTTTCTTGTAAAAGTATAACATATTGAATACAACACAAACTTGTCTGTCAACATCAGTATGTCCCTCCTCACCGTTTTGAGTTTCTTATCAAAAAAGAAAATAAACGTTTACAATATTAGGTACCACTCTAAATTATCCAAAAGTTATATAAAGTGTGTACTAAAACATTACATTGTAAACTTGAGAAGATACCTTTGAGGGATGGGGTAATAAAGCAGCACTAGAAGATAGTTGAAGAACAGCTGCAGATACGTCCTCCCTGTGGAAGAAAGAACGGGTAAGCTGTCCTAGTGCGCTTTATTGACGAAAAATCCTCAGCAATAGACAAACAACATGGTGTAGGAAAACAAAGCATGAACGAAAACATCAACCAGGCTTTTCCCGAAATCTAATCCTTTCACCACCATTACCAAGAACCGATTTTGTATAACAAATAAACTCATGCCATCCTTGTCCGTGCACCTATTGTACACAGACAGCTGCACCATTTTTTAACTCCTCAGGTGAATTCTATTGTCCTTTCATTTTTCAAACAGAAAATTATATCTTAGAAGAAGATGAACTTCAAAAGCAGAAAAAAAAGTATATTATTTATTAGAGGTATATCAAGATTCAAGAGAAAAACTAGCATACCCATCAGAAGTGCCTTCAACTATATTGAATTCCACTATCCTAGAAGTTGATATTCCTGAAACATCTGTTGTATCAGCTTTACCCTCTGTGAATTCATCTTCTGGATTTGTGGAAGGGGCATTCTCTGCTAACTATGTACAATACAAAACAAAAGCATGTGACCCTTAATATTAATATTAAAGAACTGTGTGATGTGCCAGACTGAAAAATAAAAGTAACTGTATGCCCAAGGAGCCAGCTGCCAAGTTTAGTTAAAGGTCAAGCTATAAATTAAGAAGACATGTAAAACATGTGTGCAGGAGTGGGGGTGTGCATGTATGTGCAGATTCAAGACTTTTGGAAATTTATTCTAGTTGTCTCTTGGGGTCTTATAAAACAAAATACAGGTCCCCCACTGCTAAAAGTTATCATGTATCGGCTAGTGCAATGGACACGTTTATAGTAATAACTAATTCATAAAAAGGCACCAAGCAGGATTGAGTGTGTGTAATGTAAACCATTGGTAGTTGGTACAAATCTCCGTAAGAGCTTAACTGCTAACACATTGGACCTTCATATTTCAATCATAAAGAGGAAAGGAATAGCCATCCAGATCATTAGGATATATAAATTATCATCCAATTTGCAGGAGCTTCGGTTGTAACCCCTCTAATTGATGCAGAAGTCCCAGTGACAAAGTTAATAGACATAATATAAAAATGAACCTCAAGTGCAATTTCCGCCTTTCTTAAACTTCCAACTCTTCCACCATGTTTACTATTAAGTCCGAAAAATCAGTAGCTTTATTAAAAATTTAGAACAAAACAATAAAGAACCAAACACATATTTATTATTCATGTCAATTAGTAGCCTCTATCATTGCATCTTTAAATTCTTGTAATTATTGTGTATTCCAGACAAAAATGAGAAGAAAGAAGCGGTAAACCCTTGTAGGGCGTTGAAAGCATACTGAACCCAAAATCCAAATTAGAAACTAGCTCCATGCCCTCAATCGCTTTAACTGGTCCATTTCAAGTTATACCTTGTAGGTTTGAGAACAGTACGGAAAATACAGCCAAATAACCATCTGAAAATGTTGAAATTGATCTCAGCAAAACAATGCTGCACTTGTAAAAATGCTTCCTCTCAACCACCAAAGACGAAAAAGGAAAAAGGGAGCAGCCCCCGGAAACCTTATTAGTAAGTAGTAACTAGCATATTTCTTGACAAAAGTCCCATGCTAAGTGCTAACCAGCCTTGGACACTCCTTGCACTAGATTTCACAAGTCCCATCTAGAAAACTGAAAGATTCTCAGTTGTTGAAATATTCACATATAGCATCTAACCCCATTCAAGCATCCTTTCTAGTCATTAGACTTTTTTTTTTTTTTGAGAAAAAAAACAATAACAATTTATTAAAACAATAACATGAATTACAAAAGGGAATTGTTATTAGCACTCCAAAAATCTCATTTAGCACTCCAAACTTTCTATAATTAGAAAGAAAAATACACTTGAGAGGAGTGTAGAATGAGATTTGTTGAGTGCTAATAACAATTCCCTTACAAAATAGTGGATAATCATGATATCTATCTATGTATCTATCTATCCACGATACGAATCCATGTGTGCCAGTGTTGGTGTGGGTGTAGTAGTCTAAGTTTCGACTACGATTGCGAAATAGCTGACCAATTCAAAATTTCTTAAAAAGGTGAGGCAAGGCAAGAATCAAGACTTAATTAGCTTTACTAACCACTGGTGAGACTTGAGTTTCATCTGATGTGGTGGTTGTTGTGGCCGTGGTTGTGATTGTAGTTGTGGTTTCTTCACCGCCACCACTAGTTGCATTGTTGGAGATCGTCACTGAAACCGCATCAACAGCATTCTCCTCAGCCTGAGCATGAATGTCATTGCTGACTTGAGTTTCATCTGTTGTGGTTGTGGTTGTAGTTGTGGTTTCTTGGCCACCACTGCTACTGCCACCAGTCGCAATGTTGATGCTCGCCACTGAAACCGCATCAACAGCCTTCTCCTCGGCCTCCGCATCAACAGCATTCTCCTCGGCCTCCGCACCGCTAATTGCTGGAAAAGAAAAAATTTCATTGCTGACTTGAGTTTCATCTGTTGTGGTTCTGGTCGTAGTTGTGGTTGTGGTTGTTGTTTCTTCACCACCACCATGACCGCCACCAGTCGCAGTTCTGGTGCTCATCACTGAAACCACATCAACAGCGTTCTCCTCGGCGCCACCAATTGCTGGAAAAGCATGAATGTCATTGCTGACTTGAGTTTCTTCTGTTGTGGTTGTGGTTGTAGCTGTGGTTTCTTGGCCACCACTGCTACTGCCACCAGTCGCAATGTTGATGCTCGCCACTGAAACCGCATCAACAGCCTTCTCCTCGGCCTCCGCATCAACAGCATTCTCCTCGGCCTCCGCACCGCTAATTGCTGGAAAAGAAAAAATTTCATTGCTGACTTGAGTTTCATCTGTTGTGGTTCTGGTCGTAGTTGTGGTTGTGGTTGTTGTTTCTTCACCACCACCACGACCGCCACCAGTCGCAGTTCTGGTGCTCATCACTGAAACCACATCAACAGCGTTCTCCTCGGCGCCACCAATTGCTGGAAAAGCATGAATGTCATTGCTGACTTGAGTTTCTTCTGTTGTGGTTGTGGTTGTAGCTGTGGTTTCTTGGCCACCACTGCTACTGCCACCAGTCGCAATGTTGATGCTCGCCACTGAAACCGCATCAACAGCCTTCTCCTCGGCCTCCGCATCAACAGCATTCTCCTCGGCCTCCGCATCAACAGCATTCTCCTCGGCCTCCGCACCGCTAATTGCTGGAAAAGAAAAAATTTCATTGCTGACTTGAGTTTCATCTGGTGTGGTTCTGGTCGTCGTTGTGGTTGTGGTTGTTGTTTCTTCACCACCACCACGACCGCCACCAGTCGCAGTTCTGGTGCTCATCACTGAAACCACATCAACAGCGTTCTCCTCGGCGCCACCAATTGCTGGAAAAGCATGAATGTCATTGCTGACTTGAGTTTCTTCTGTTGTGGTTGTGGTTGTAGTTGTGGTTTCTTCACCACTACCACTACCGCCACACTTCGCAATGCCCGTGCTCGTTACTGAAACCGCATCAACAGTATTCTCCTCGGTCCCGGCGCTGCTAATTGCTGGAAAAGCATGAATTTCATTGCTAACTTGAGTTTCACCTTTTGTGGTTGTGGTTGTGGTTGTGGTTTCTTCACCACCACCAGTCGCAATGCCCGTGCTCGTCACTGAAACCGCATCAACAGCATTCTCCTCGGCCTTGGCGCCGCCATTTGCTGGAAAAGCATGAATTTCATTGCTGACTTGAGTTTCTTCAGTTGTGGTTGTAGTTGTGGTTTCTTCGCCACCAGTCGCCATGCTGGTGCTCGTCACTGAAACCGCATCAGCAGCATTGTCCTCACCCTCAGCATGAACGTCATTGCTGACTTGAGTTTCAACTGTTGTGGTTGTTCTTGTAGTTGTGGTAGTGGTTTCTTCACCACCACCACTACCGCCACCAGTGACAATGTCGGTACTCGTCACTGAAACCGCATCAACAGCATTCTCCTCAGCCTCGGCGCCGCCAATTGCTGGAAAAGCATCAATTTCATTGCTGACTTGAGTTTCATCTGTTATGGTTGTGGTTGTAGTCGCGGTTTCTTCCCCACCGCCACTACCACCACCACCAGTCGCATTGTTGGTGCTCGTCACTGAAACCGCATCAACAACATTCTCCTTGGCCTCAGCGGCGGTGGCTGCCAATTTCTTCTGACTTGAGAAGCACAGCCAATTCTGGAAAAGCTTTCTTTGCTGACTTGAAAGCACCAGGGATTTCATTGCTGATTTCAGTTCCATCCGCTGTGGTGCTGGTTGTGGTTGTAATTGTGGTTTTTTCACCACCATAACCGCGGCCAGTCGCACTGCTGGTGCTCGTCATTGAAACCACATCAACAGCATTCTCCTTGGCCTCAGCGGCGGCGGTGCCAATCGCTGGAAAAGCATGAATTTCATTGCTGAGTTGAGTTTTATCTTCTGTGGTTGTGGTTATGGTTGTGATTGTGGTTATGGACCTTGTGGTTGTGGTTTCTTCGCCACCGCCGCCAGTAGCACTGTCGGTGGTCGTCGCTGAATGCGCATCAACCGTCTCATCGGCCTCAGCGGCAGCACCACCGCCACCACCACTCCCTCTTCTTCCCAACAATGTTTGGCTCAGTTTTGAATCTTGCACGGGATCCTCCAGATGACTTTGAGCATCAGTTGCTGTTTCAGTGGTAACAGATTTCTCGCTCTCGTCCCCAAAGCGGAAGAGAAGGCTGCCATCCCACGACTCTGTCACACACAAGTCAAAAGCAATCAAATAAATAATACTAGTAACTGATACTCGCACTCACACATACACTCTGTTTGTTTCCTCAGAAAATTGTGTTTATTTCCTGAGAAAATTGGGGGACAAACATACCGGTTGTGGAAATGATGTCAAAGTTTGAGGAGGAGGAGGAGGAGGATGAGTGCGGCGGAAGCGTCCGGCGGTGCTTCGGAAATCCAATCGGAATCCTAGTGAGGAGTGTTTCGTGCAGGGGGGGTTTAAGTGGCGGAAGAATGCTGGTTGGAAAGGAGAAGCTCAATCCGCTTCTCACGAACGGATTACCCATTTTCCTGTTTTTTATTATTATTACGTCATCGTATAAGGCAATCTACACATGCATTTGCCTTTTTTTTTGCCCTTTATATTGGTTTTTCGTGAATTAGAGAGAGAGATTTAGCGACTGAAAGACATTAAAGATATTACTGTTTATTTTTACTTTTTTTTATACTATTCACTACATTTTTATTTGTTATTTTTATTAAAACTAAATTTTTTTTTAAACTTTTCATTAATTTTCTTCTGAAAATATCAATATAGGTAGAAATATCGATAAATATATTATTAGTGATATCAATTGACTTTAATGGAAATTATGGATATTTTCAATTGGAGGGTTATCAATTTATTCAAATTAATTGATTGATATTAGAGAAAAAAAAATTCAAAAATTTAAAATCTGCAATGGGTTTTGACAAATTGAAGTTTTCATTTCACCTTATTTCTATAGCGATCATTGATTTTTTGGATATTTCGACGAAAATATTGAAAATTTCTTGAATGTTTTAAACAAATCGGGGCAAGAATGTTTAATGGAGAAAGATTTACATGGTATATACCGTCAGAGCTGTATTTTATGCAAATAAATAAAAGTATGTGTAAGTTTTAAACTCAAATATGTACAGTGGAGCGATGGTATAATTCTAAGAAAAACTAATAAAAATGATTTAAAAATTTTAAGTTTTAACAAATAAAGACAAAATAAATGATAAAGTGAATAGTACTATAATTGACTTTTTAGTGTAAAAATGTAATTTATAAACAGTAACATAAGCTTTTCATTAAAGTTCTTATAATTCTATTATTGTACAACGACCTGAATGAGGATCCTCTTTGATTCCAGAAATTCATGTTTGTTCATGATACATCAGTGGCCAATTTGTTAGGTACTATTTGTATTCAATTTTAAATAAAATAATTTTAAATCACGCGAGTAGATATAATTAAAAGATAAATCTGGGAGGATCCTCATTCCAAGGACCTCGATGATATTTTGTACCCTTAGCCTATATGGCTAGTCCACGTGGTTGGAGGGAATATATGGATGCGGATGGAGGTCCAGTTCCCATTGGTCCGAAATCTATCTAATACAACCAAGTCGGATTTCATTATCCTAGTTGGCTACTCCCAACGCCACCCTTTAGATTCCCTCTTCCCTACTCAATGGTGATAAAACACCACCCAGACAAACAACTCTCAACCTCAAACATTCATTGCCACCAGAAACACTCTCTGAGTCTCTGTTTTTGCTCGTTCTAGAGAGAGAGAGAGGAGAGAGGGAGATGGCGGCAACCACCGGTGCAGTGCTCAACGGGTTGAACTCGGCAGCTTTCTTATGCGGAGGCAAGAGAAGTCAGGCCTTGCTCTCCGCTGCCACTGTCGGAAGCAGGGCTGGAGGTCCTGCTCCTAAGAGGTTAATTGTGGTTGCTGCTGCCGCAAAGAAGTCTTGGATCCCGGGGGTTAAAGCCGGCGGCAACTTCACCAATCCCGAGTGGCTCGATGGCTCGTGAGTTTCATATATTATCAACCATATTGTAATTCTAAGTTTGTCACACATACACATATGAATCTGATCAGATATATGCGTGCAGGCTTCCAGGGGACTACGGCTTTGACCCACTAGGACTCGGCAGGGACCCGGCGTTCCTCAAGTGGTACAGAGAGGCGGAGCTCATCCACGGCCGGTGGGCAATGACCGCGGTCGTCGGCATCTTTGTTGGCCAGGCCTGGAGCGGTATCCCATGGTTCCAAGCCGGAGCTGACCCTGGCGCCATAGCACCCTTCTCCTTCGGCACACTGCTCGGCACTCAGCTCTTGCTCATGGGTTGGGTGGAAAGCAAAAGATGGGTGGACTTCTACAACCCCGAGTCCCAGTCCGTCGAGTGGGCGACACCTTGGTCCAAGACTGCGGAGAACTTTGCCAACGCCACCGGAGAGCAAGGCTACCCGGGAGGCAAGTTCTTCGACCCCTTGGGGCTTGCCGGCTCCATCCAGGACGGGGTTTACGTTCCCGATAGCGAAAAGTTGGAGAGACTGAAACTGGCTGAGATTAAGCATGCAAGGATTGCTATGTTGGCTATGCTTATATTCTACTTTGAAGCTGGACAAGGAAAGACACCCCTTGGTGCTCTTGGCTTGTAAACCATTTGGCATTTACTTTTTTATATGTAGATATAATTAATTACCCAATTTTTTTTATCCTTTCCAGCACAAGGACTAGCAATCTGTTTATAACCAATGCGATAGTTCAATTTAATCGCTACTTAAGTGTCGTTACCGACATCTTGTCTTCATAATCATGGCAAGAATTAACCATAAAAATCTCTTTAACAAACTCTTAACTGCCAAAAAACGCTTACACGAAAGAGAGGATCAAAATGAAAGAGAAGACAAAAATTGTACACGAAACCAACTTTAGCAATGAAATTACCGAAGAAAATGTGATCAGTCACCACCGGTACCAGTAGCCATCAAAAACTCCCCCTCACATACGACCTCACCTCCAACGTAGGCCTTGCCTTCCATCTTTGCAATTCCAAAGCGTTTCTGCAACTTAATAAGCGTCATTCTCATCACTAACGTGTCGCCGGCAATCACTGGTTTCCTGAATCGAACTTTGTCGATTCCAGCGAAAAAGAAAGTGTCACGAGAGCCTCCCACTTCTGGTTGCAGCTAACCAAGCCACCGACCTGTGCCATTGCCTAGATACAACAAGCATTGACATATATCATTACTAATCCAAACAGAACAGCCAAGTGTTAACGGGAAATTTAGTCGACTGCAGCAATATGCATTATCTTGTTGTGAAGCATACAAAATGTGATTCTACGACAAGTATATCCTAAAACAGTCACATTTGCTCTGAACTTTTCTTAAGAAGCATCAATCAAAGATATGATTAGGGGCTCGGGAATGATATAACAAATGACTACACAAAAACCACTGAAGAATGGATCGACAAATAGTGCGTCAGGAACAACCAAATCCCAAAAACTTAACTAAGCGAAAAACAGAACCCTTAACCCACAAAATCGGACCATGGAATGAGGCAAGCATAGCAAAATTCCAGAGTATAGCACTTTTTTTTATCTCCTCTCCCCAGGCCAAATTCAGTCAGAAAAGAATAGTGGTTCCTTGAAGCTACCTGGTCCAAACCAAAGGCCCTAACTTACCTGTTCCAAATCAATGTCATGAAGGCGCATTGCAAAAATGTGTTCAGAAGATTCAGCCATACCTTTTCAGAGTCGACATCAATTACGATATAATTTAGCATAGGGCCTTGTCTTCCAAAGCATATCACATGAATTGATATTGCAATGAAGTATCAGCCAAAGAAAAACAACTATAATGGGAACCCAGGCTTCCAAATAAACTTGTCAGGACCAAAGGTGGATGGTTTGGGTTATCTGAGTAAAGAAAGACAGAAAGACTTGCAAGAAAAACCCAGAATCTTGGATAGCCCAGACGCTTCAATCAAGAAGAGAGGATGCAAGACAACATTAATAATCCATCCCAAACCAGACTAGTTGACAGGAATGAAGTCGTTCACATTGAGGTTTATTAGGAATCAAATTATATAGGTCAAACTAGTACAATAAATCAACGACTATTGCACAGACTCCGGGATAAATGTCGAGATCTTCCATAACCACTTCCCTGCAATTCTTAAAAACCGCCAAATAGATGCTGTCCAGTCCAAATGATTTCTTACGGCCACACTCAAAAATTGCACGAGCAAACTCTTCCTTCAAATGATCGTTCTAACCAAGCTTCCTTCTCAATTATAGGACTCCAATCTACATGCTCTAGTTTAGAAACTAGCTCCAGTTTAGAAACTAGCTCCAAATTCTTTCAAAAAAGCCAAAATGCCAACTCCAGGATGTTGCAGCAGAGTTCATAAGACTAGAAATATTGTTAAATGAAAGTTGAAACCTAAGATATATTGTAAAGCCTGGGAAATAGATAGCGTAAACATTTTTCACCCAGCCACCCTAAATTCAATTTCATCTTCCCCTCCAAGTACAAAATGACAACACCCCAAAACAGAATAGAACCCTGGGAAATTTCTCTCCAATGACTACAATTTGAGCCATTCAGAAATATCTTGAGTTCTTGACTAGTTGGGATTTAAGAAAATCTGCAACTATCTTGGAATCCTATATGAACTAGTTATAAAGCCAGTCCGAGCATCAATTTTGGGTTCAGATACATATTAGCTGCAACACATATATATTCTTTCCATTGCAAATTGCACAAATACATGCTCTTTCTCCAATATGTGGGATTTCAGTTTTAGGAGAAATCTTAGAGAGAATATGGTGGTGGAGATGACAAACTTATTGAGGCTGAACAAGATGATGATATTATTTCCATACAGAAAGGATGCAAGAAGATGGTGCTTAGAGACTTCTTTGAACACCTTATTTAAATGGGTTAAGCTTATAAATGGAAAGTATGGGAAAGAACCTGATAGCTTAGAAATAGTTGCAAGGTTAGCATGATCAACGAAAAATATTTTGTAAATGTACAACAAATAAATGTATTGCAATTTTCAAAAGCCCCCACTCACAACTCTGTGAATGTACCAATAAAGGAATATAGTAGAAGTAAATACAGGTTATAACAGTTTCATCAAAAGGAAAAAATATATCTCACTGATGAGCCACCACAGTTAAACTGACATTTCTCCATCACGATTTTCATGCATCACAGCAATTCATAACTTAGTAACAGAGGCTGAGCTAGAAGCCTAGAAGAGCCCCTGACATACCAAGGTGCTCACGGTTGAGGAAATGATTACGATTAGAAACTTAGAATAGGTCAAGTTTTGATCCACGCATAACCAGTTGATAGACAATCTGGTTCAACTTTAAGTGGACTTTTCAAACCCTTGATATGTATTAATGCAGGGATTTTGATGCGGAAAGAAAGATAACTTGGTCAACTTTCAGTTGCTGATCAACTGGCATAGCCACCAGGCAATCGCCAAACATTAAACCAAATGCCAGTACAAGTTTGTTGCTCAGTTCTATCCGACAAGTCACGTAAATATGGTATTTACACA